TAGTTTGCATTCCCACCAGCAATGCAGGAGAGTTCCTTTTTCTCCACATCCTCGCCAACATTTGTTGTTGCTAGTTGTTTGAAGATGTGCCATTTTCACTGGGGTGAGGTGGTATCTCATTGTGGTTTTAATTTGCATCTCCCTTATTACAAGTGATTCAACCAGTCTCTTTTAGGAAGAGTAAATACTAACCCCTACGTTGTATTTTACCAGTAGACCTACCACCTCCCTTGAATGTTAGCAAATATTCCTATGTTATTTTCTGATAGGAAAACAGAGTTGATCATTTGTATTATGAGCTTCAGTTAAAAAAAAAATCAGGCTACTTGCAGAAAGTCATTTAGAGTCTCCCCTTGCCTACTGGGAAAACAAGCCCTTCCAAGAGATCTTCCCTTATGTACATGAAACTCTATATGAGGATCTTGGACAAAAACAGATGATTCTCCTGATCGCTAAGGCAGAAGCAGGCCTAGCCATTCTTTTTTTTTTTTTTTTTAACATCGTTCTTCATTTTGTGTATTTTTTCCATCTCAGTTGTAAACCCCATCTCAGTTGTAAAGGCCCAGCCTTTCTACAGGTGTTAGGATTTTGGCATGTCTGACAGTATTCAAATAGTTCAAAGAATATGAATTAACCCCTTTAGTTTTGCTCTTTTCTCTGTCACCAACTTTATTTTTTTAATTTTATTTATTATAATATATATATATATTTTACACCATTCTTCATTTTTTTACAATGTATGCATTCTCATCTATTATAGTCCCTGTGAAATCTCCATCACCCATTCACCAGTGCCCCATCATCATAGTCCCCTGGCTCTACCTACCCGTTTTCATCCTCCTCCCTCCTTACCCCCTGCAGAGTGTCCCTGGTTTACAGTTGCCTGCTGATTTTGGTTTTTACTTTATTATAATTATTTCCCCCCTCATCCCTTACTTGGACCCTCTGCATTCCTCTTATAAGTGAAATCATCTGGCATTTTTCTTTTTCTTTCTGGATTATTTCACTGAGCATGACCCCTTCCAGCATCCATGAGTTTATCATTTTTGATTGCAGAGTAATATTGCTCCGTGAAATCAAGCTACATCTTCTTGATATAGTCATCTATTTTTGGCATTTGGGTTGTTCAAATAGCTTAAGCTTAACAGCAGTGGTCTCAGAGTGACCTGATACTAGGACTTTGCATAAGTTTATTTCTGGCAAGAGGGGGAGGGCCATGAAAGGAGAAAAGATGTGATGATGTGAGTAGGGGCTTATAAAATTAACACATTCATCACGTTAAATTGCCAAGGCACTAGTTGACACAGAAAGAAAATGACAGAACTTGATCTTACTGAGCAGGAGAAATAAAAATTATGCTTTGATCAGAATCTGCAAATCATAGCCCATGTGCTAGTATGTTCACTCTTGTTCAGAAAGACTCAACTGTTAGTTTTTCTTTTTAAAATTCATTTGAGAATCTGGTGACATTAAATTCACTGACTTCCTCAGGATACGTTTGTTTCCCTGGCAATTATCAAGAGCAAATAATACAGGATAATGAGTTCAGCTTGCTAGAGCAAAACTGCACATGTTAATCAAAAGAATAGATATTGAAATTTAGTAGTGTGCAGAATTGTAATTTTTCATATAATGACTTAGTTATTTATTTTAAAAGATTATTTATACATACAGAACTGGGATACAGGCCAGAGATGGAAGGGGGAGTAAGAGTATTCACCAGAGACAGAGTCGGGAACAGAGCAGGCTGACTGATAAAGTACACTGCTGATGGGAGCAGCAGGCGGGTCAGGAGAGGTCTGCTTAGCCATGTGGGCCACCTCCCCTGTGAGGGATCGAACCTTCACAGGAGTGGCTGTGGCTCATGGCGCTGTGTTTTAACCCATTGCACCACTGGGGAGGTTTAAAACCTCATATAATGGTTTTAAAAAATAATTCCTGCAACATCCCATTCATGCAAATGTTGTCCAAGGAGGCTATAGTCAAGTGGAAGGGGTATGCAAAGAGTATCATCAGTGTGTGTGCGACTCATTTGCCTTTAATGAAACAAACATTCTGAAACAGTTTGTGCATTTCTTATCCTCCTTGCTCCCACAACTAAGGAAAATTTCCACTGAGCTACAAGAGCAAATCAAGGTTTGGTCAGACTTTGGAATAGGAAATAGCACATACACTGCAAACGGCTTGTGTTTCCTTTGAGGTTGTACAGGGGATGTAGGGAGAAAGGATGAGGGAGTAGGAGAGTGGCAGACGTGCCATAAGTAGACAGAACACATCAGAAACCAAGGCCAAGACCAATGTTATCTGAAGCTCCATATCAGGCTAGCAGATGGCATGGTTGGAAAAGCATCCAGAGAATAATCTGCTTCTTTTGCACTTAAAAGGGAACTAGGGAAAATACTGCAAAAATCACAACATACGAAGTAAGTGATATTACACTTGTGGTAATGAAGACTCTCCGTATAGTTTCAAATCTGTAACCACAGTGTTGAACCTGCTGATTCTAAAGGTCTTATGGAGTTCACAGACTGAGCTGGGATTCCTTCAGTTTTAGGTCAGATTTTAGCTGAAAAGCTTAGTTCCTGACACCCACCATTTGGGTGATCTAGAAAAATAACAGTCAAACTTTCTGGACTGTTACTTTTCTCCTCTCTTTCTGTTACAGTAGGATCCTTTTGTCTGTTTTGTTAGATTCTTGTAAGGGCTGGAATATGAATATAGACATAGACATAAGTTAATTTTTGTGTTTAGAAGAAAGGTCTGCAGGGATAAACAGTGAAAGGTTAGTAGTGCTCAAATTTCAGGGTTGACTTAGGGTGTTACAGTTGATTTTGCTTCCCTGAAATTTCCAATTCTTCTGCATTCTTCAGCATTTATCACTTATGTCACTATAAAAAGTTAAACAATAGGTCCCTCCCTGGTGGTGCATTGGGTTAAAGCACAGCACTAAGAAGCTAAAGCCATTTCAGCATGAATTTGATCCCCACCCCGGAGGTGACCCACATGGCACGGCAGAACTCTCCTGACCCGCCCGCTTCTCTTCTCAGCAGTGTACCTCGTCAGTCAGCCTGTTCTGCTCTGGTGAATCCTCTCACCACCTCTGCACCTCTGGCCTGTACCCCAGTTCTGTATGCATAACCAAGTAAATCTTTTTTTAAAAAAAAGTTAAACAAGCACCAAGCCTTGTTTCACATTAGGATAGATTTATTTCTGATTTTTATGTATTTTATTGTAAAAGAGAAAACAAGTCATTTTCTTTCTAAAAGACTATCCCCTCTAGAAAGGAAAACCTTTATCACTGCCTTCAGGAATGGGAGTTGAGGGTGAGTTTCATTTAGAAGGGGCTGATTTGCTCTGAGCTCACTGTGCCTAGCATGGTCAAGGTTCAGAAAGCACACCTGCAAAATGCTGCTGGCTTTCCCATATTCCAAAAAATAATTCTGATAGAAAATGAAGGTGATAAAGAAAGAAGGCAGAAGGGAATACAGAGGGAGATGGAGTAGAGGGACTGAGAAAAGGGAAAGGAATCTAGAGATTGAGACACAACAGAAAAGAATGAACCAGAGACTGTAGCATCTCTTTGTCCCTGGGGTGGGGGAAATCCCTGGAGAGTGGCCAGGCCAGCACACACCTGGGCCACGTGGCACACTGGGTACTTACCTCCATGGCATACTGAGCGTTGAACTCCACCTCAGCGAGGTTCCAGGCGGCATTCACCGGTCTATCCATTTTCCAGATCTCCTCATAAAGGCCGCCCCCATCCCGAGTATAGAGAGAAAAGACATTGTCATTCCCCTGCTGGAGTTGGTAATAAAATGACAGGCAGCCGGACATGGGGGCCGTGGTGATGGGGGAGATGAGCTGGGCCACCTCCTGGAAGTGCTTGACGTAAACCGAGTCCACATACATGTAGTGGCCTGAAAACCACATAGACAGAAAGTAAGCCAGGTGGAGGACTCTCAGATAAACAGTGTGATACTGGGATTAACTTCGGCATTATTCAGAGGGTGTGGTGATGAGGAAACAGATGAAAGAAGTTTGGCCATGGCTTGGTGAATATTGCCCCCAGGAGATGAGTACATGGAGGTCATTGTGTTCTGGTAATACAAGATAAAAATCTTTCTCTTTCTTTTCCTTACTTTCCATTGAAATAAAATATATTTATAAAAAGATACACACATTATCTAGAAAGTGCTTGAATTTTCACAGGCTAACCACAGCTATGGAAGGAAAAAGCATTATTCTAGAAGACCCCATCTCCCAGAACTTCTTTGAATTTATAAGATTTCTAGGCATACACCAGGTACAGTATCTATTTTTTTTTAAAAAAGATTTATTTATTTATGCTTACAGAACTGGGGTACAGGCCAGAGATGTGGTGGGTGAGAGGATTCACCAGAGACAGAGTGGGGAGCAGAACAGGCAGATGTACTGAAATACACTGCTGAGGGGAGCAGCGGGCACATCAGGAGAGGTCTGCTGCGCCATGTGGGTCAGCTCCCTGGCAGGGGATCACACTCGTGCTGCAGCGATTTCAGAGGGCTTCATAATGCAGTGCTTTAACTCGTTGTGCCACCAGAGAAAGCCCCCACAGTATCTATTTTTAAAAAAGGGCAAAGAGGTGCTTTCCTGGGTAGCTATAGCAAAATATCACTGTGCATTTGTAGAATGAAACCAAGAGTATGAATTCAACTAGATGACAGTTTGTATCTCTTTCGTAGAACATGTGGCTCAGTCAACACTGCAGGAAGGATTAGGACTTTTGGTGAAGGCTTGATGGGCTCTGAACTTGGAGCTTGACTTCCACTAGAGGCCTTTTGGTGAAGTGCCATTTGGCAGAATGGGGGACGGTTGGATTTGAAGAGAACAGAGTTTGAGTCCTGCTCCACCTCTTATGAGTTCCGAAACTTTGAGCAAGTTTCTGAATCTCTGTGAGGTTCAGTTTCCTGATTTCCTGAATGAGAATCAAATACTACACTCCTAGGGTTGATGCAAATTTTAAGTGAGTTATGTATGTGAAGAACTGGCACACCATAATTGCCTAACATAATTAAAATGAAATAAAGTAATTTTGTTAATGAGTCTAGAGCCTTGCTTTCCCCATTGCCTGTTTTGTATAAAGGGAAGCTATTACTCTTAGTTGCTTTATCTGAATTTCTTTAAGCTGTAATAACCAATATAATTTTGATAGAATACATTTTTATATATAAGTTCAGAAAAATTATAGACTAATATCTTTGCTTTTATTACATTTTGCCTGGATAATATTTCCTTTGCCCCCAGCAAAATACCTGCTAGGATATTAGGGAGAATATATGCCTTTTGACACTATAGACACTCACCTCTTGTCTACCAATATGTAATAGGCCCTCAACAAAAGGATAATCAAAACATAAATGCATTCTCAGAAAGTTGAGACTCAACACGGCAGAAAGAAAACATAAACAAATCAGCGATTACTTTCTCCCATGAGTAAAATGTTCACCTGCCTCCCGCTCCCCAAGTCATCTCTCTTGTAAATATAATTCCTCTTACCAAATTGTGCAACTGTGAATTAACAATGTTTACAACTCAGATGACCAAAGGAACCAGCTCATATGTGACTGAGTAGAGTATGTCAGGGAGACAACAGAGTAGTGAATTAGGTGCCAACATCTGAGATCATATTTCACTGGCAATGAGAAAAAGAAATCAAGCTTCTGTGGAAAAAATTAGAAAATCTGATTGCACAGGAATTTATATTTCCCAGCTACAAGAACTGATGGAAGAAGGGCAGATCCTGGCATGGACCAGGTCTCCATTCATCCCTGAGAGCTGCACACTCTGCTAAAGCCCTGGCATCAAATCAGTGCTACAGGCTTTTGCCATAGAAACACAGAATCCAGGTTTTTATAGCAAGTCTATCCTTTTAAAAAATGATACCCTCTATATTATTTTACTAGGTTGCTGTAACAACTTGGTGGCTTATACAACAGAAATGTGTTGATTCACACACAGTTCAGGCCTGGAATGTGCAATCAAGGATTGGCAGGAGTGGTTTTTCCTGAGGGCAATGAGGGTGAATATGTTCTAGGCCCCTGTCCCAGCTTCTGGAAGTTTGTTGGCAATCTTTGCTGATCTCTGCCTTTGTGTGAATTTGACATTCTCCCTTCAGGCATCTCTCTCTTTGTCCAAACTTCCTCCTTTTAAAAGGACATCAATCATATGGTATTAGGGACCCATCACATTAGTCATGGGATTAGGGGCCCACCCTACTTCATTCAGTAAGACCTCATCTTACATTACATTGGCATAGGGTGATTTTCATATAACATTATTTACCTCCAAATAATGTGACATTCTGAAATATTGAGGATTTGGACTTCAACACATGAATTTAGAGAGCAGACAATTCAAACTATAATACCCCTTCCCCCATCATAAAATTAAAACCTTTGTATGTGTCAAATACACATAACTGTGGATTGGGAAAGGTTGATGGGCTCTCACTTTGCCACTTCTGGGGAAGGATTATAAAGGAAGGCTCAGGGGTCAGGCTGGACAGAGTAGGAGAACACCTGATATGAAGAAAGGCCAGAACTGCTATTCCAAACTTCGGCACCCTCTAAGTGCAGCCATGGCCAGCAAGCCTCGACTACAACACATTCCCCATGGAGACTTCAGGGGACCAGTTGGCCTCTGTAACATGCCTCTCCTCACCGGGAAATCAAATGTGAAGGAGCATTTGTAATGCCCATTTTACCAATGAAACAGAATCTTTTCCAAGACATACTATCAGGGTAACTGAGTGGAAAAGAGCAAGAGGAACTCACTTCCCTGTTAACTCACGATGGGGACCGTGGCCATCTCCTTCAAGTGAACTTTCTGCAAGGACCATGGCTGAGTTACAGTCTCCAGCTGTCTCACCCCGGTTCCACAATAGCATGAGTGCCCAGGTCATGTGCACTGGGCTGTGCTCAGCCAGGGAACAAGCACAGCAGGGCCCCAAAGCTGGGTCATTCCACCTGACTTGGGATTTTCAGCCTCCCCTTCAGCCCCCTTCTCTCTCATGGGAGTCAGGCTTCTACTGCACTGGAGGTGCCCCCTCTTCTGGCCATCTGAAGACTGCTGTGGGCTCTAGGTACTCTGACCTTTGTTGGGTCCCTTCCACCACAAAAAATACTTATTTTACATAATATTTTATGATGCGTTGATAAATGATGATGAATATAAGCTGGATTCTTATATTTATTATTACACTCACATTGTCCTCTGATTTTAAAATAAAACAAATCAAAATATTCTCCTGGTTCCCTAAAAACACTGCTTTGTGACTCATGGACCCTGACCCTAGAGACTCCAGCTCACTCGCCTTTATCCCTCATGGCATTTATCATTCATAATGGTTTCCCCCAAATGCAGCTCTTTCTCAACAGCTTAGCATCCACTTGAAGGACCCCAGACAGTCACAGAGAGAAAAATCCTTCTCAGGTGAGAAGCAGCACTGCTGGCTCTCGGAGGCTCTCAGTGGATTTGGGAGTGCCCACAGGAATCCACCTGAAACTCTTCATCCGACTTCTGGAGCACACACAAACTGTGCCCTTAAGGCATGTTTCACATGTTCCCATACAAATTCATCTTCTTCACAGCTGATTGACGTATAGTCTCCCTTAAAGGTCAGTTACTAACCTGCCATGTGGACATCAGTTCAATCCTTGAATTTGCAGTGAAAGGGTGTCATTAACCGCTCATGTGTAAGACACGAGGCAAGTGAGCTGCAGACACACTTCTGATCCAAAAACATCTTGCAAAGACAATGTGCCTGCCCAAGTGAGTCAGAGCGGCTGCTGGGAATGCGACCAGGACTGCTGACACACAGTCTGCTGTGGAACCGCTAGATTAGACCACATTCGGTTGCTGGCCCCCTTCCCCTATGCCTCCATCATTCATTTGTTGCCAAAGTTGGGTATTATTTACTGACAAGTTGAGCTAAGCCTTTCTGGCTGGGAGACAAAAGACAGCTCTTTAGACATCTGTCATCTCCATTGAATGGATGGGAGGACTCAGAAATCACCAGGTGGCTGCCCCAGGAGGCCGGGCAGAGTGGATGCCATCACACTATCTGCTGTGAGCAACGGAGCATGTGGCTGTGATGCTGAGGTGTCCTCGGGCTCAGTGGCGATCTGTCCCTGTTGGCCACATTTATGCTCCAGTTAGACCATCTGCATCTGTGTCACGATGGTCTAGACAAGCTCTCTCCCAAGGAATGGAAAAAACTTGGTTTGGAGAAAAAAATACCAGCTGGAAACATCCATTGATTGTGGGGAGATAGCACCCAAAGAGCAAGTTATTGTTTTGCTCTCTGAATCTTTAGGGTTTGGGGGAGTTTATAGCGAGTCAGACCCTAGTCTTTTTATATAGCTTTCAGGGACATCACAAAGACTGAACAAAAAGTGGGGCTTCTCATAAGGTCAGCTAACACCCCAATGGCAATAACAATGGGTGACAAGTACCTCTATTTTCTAAAGTATGGTGCTAAACCAGCACCTGCAATGTAGAATATGCTACATTGTGGCAGGCCTGGCACCTAAGCCAGGTCTACCATATTGAACACATCTCTCCCTTCCAGCCTGTGTATATGACAAGGCCAGAGAGCAACCTGAGAAACTGGAGTCAGTTTCTTTCAATCGAAATGGTATAGAACTGGCCTACAGGTGTTTTCTTTGAGCTCCCCAGGGGAGGGGTGAAGAGGGGATTGCTTTCCCCTTTTTTATCTTTTGCCAAGAAAGGGGAATTAAACCACTTATTAAAAGTGGAGGAGGGAAACCACCCTCAAACCTCATCTCATGCTCGCAAAAGTTATAGAGTTCTGCAACTGCCTTGGGCCTTGAGAAAAGGGTGGTCAGAGTTCCTGGGAAAACTTGAGATGTGATGTGGGCCTGACTCATAACTGTGTATATTCTGAGGCAGAGTGGCTGTGTATGTGTGGGGGTGGGGGGTGGGAGGTGGGAGGGAAGGGTAGAGAGGAAAGAAAGCATTTTGCTGTTAGTGAGCTGCACTTTCAGAGTTTGATAGCAAGGATTTGCCTAAGAGGGCACCTACCATGCCTTACAAAGATTCTTCTCAAGAAGACTGTATGCAATGTGGTAACTCCAAAAGAAAGGGGCTGGCAGGGTGTTCCCTTTCTTTTAGGCTCCTCCATCACATCTCCTCCAGCCCTACAGGACTCAGGTCAGCATAGTTAGTAGGGAAGAGACAGGGAAGTGCAAAGGAAAGAAGTATGAAGAAACAAAGCACAAAACCCTTTTTCTACTGCTGTTCCTGTTCTGGTCTGGGGAAGATTTCAACTGGATGAGATGCTGAAGTTTCATTTTGACTGAACTTAATCCTTGAAAGGGAGACTGTTAGTTAATACCTGAAAGTGACTGAAAAACTCTGGTAAGTCATCCAAGGGCAGAGAAGAGGAAATCCAGCAGAGTTTGCACAAAGCTAGGGGCAAGACAATGAATAAAGTTTCTTGCCTACTGAGTGGTTATGCAATGAGCCAAATGGATCAATGCAGGGAGTGAATGAGTAGGTGTATTAAGATGACACTTGAGCTCAAGCCAAACAGAAATGAGAAAAGGATGTCAGGAATTATGGAAAAGTGAGCCATCCATTTCATGGTCTTTGATGTAATAAAATAATTCTGACCTTATTTTAGGCTTTGAAACCTTGTTCAGCTCCTTTTGGAGTGGCACCAGGTTTGATTTTTAAAAATCTCAGCAAGGAAATACATTTCCCTCATTATTTTTGAAACAATTTTGTTTTTGTTAAGGCAGGTTGGAAACAATAATGATCCGAGCTGTCAGTAGGTTACCTCCCAAAAGATTTTGTTACACATCATAAAATATTAACAAGGAAAAAAAATCCATACATGATGAAGCAGAATAGAGTAAGAAAAAGGTAGTATAATATCCCGATCCCCTCGAGCTTTCCAAAGATGTCCCAGTATAATTCTTAGTGCATTATTTTAGCCACTTCCATCATCAGACAAGAATTTGGAGACAAAGTACACTTTTGAAAAAATCTGACTCACTGTTGGGCTTTACTGTTAAAAATACAAGGCCTAAGGAAGGAAAATGATACCCACACCATATTTTGTAGATAGTACATTCAGTGTTCCCTTTTCTACAACAAAATGGTCAGAGTTCTCCTGGAAAAATTCCTTTAAGCCTCCCTCACACCCCAGTTCTGAAGTTCTGGGCAGGTACATAGCTCCCCTGCTGTCTGAGTTTCCAGATTTGACTTGAAAGCAAAGACATAAGCTACTTTCAGTATATGAATGAACATGAGATGAATTAATGTAGAGCAAAATCTGCTACAGAGGGCAGACATCTGAACCATTTAATCTTTACTTAGCTTTCCAAATCGATAGATCTCAGAGAAAAAAAATATATATATATGTATATATATATACCCAGTATAAGGCAAAATGTAGTAAGAAAGGCATTCATTCTCTTCTTTAGAACACTAGAGATCCCTCCACCCCAAGGATGATCCTGGTAAGACCTTTGAGTCCTGGAAACAAAGAGCTTTTCAAATAAAACATTTTAGAATCTTTAGAACTCTTCCTTTTTTTAGCCCCTTTCTACATGGGGGAAGTATTATATAGGAGTCAGGCAAGAGGAGTCTGAGTGTGTGTGTGTGTGTGTATTTCAGTAACCAAAGACGTCTATTTGGTTAATGACTGAGCAAAACATCACGCCAAAAGCTGAAGAGAAATTAGAATGAAAGGATAGAGAGGACATGGAAAAGTGAGAGGAATTCAGGCTAATCACAAGTAGGAACATAACCCAGGATCTAGGACCTACTCTGTCATCATCACACACCCCAGCATTTTCATACACTATCAATGTCAAATTTATTCTCATGCCTGTACAACTTTGCATAACCTATACATATGCTCTCCTCATCCATCTGGCAAAATTCCAGTTCTGCCATTAGTTTCTTTAGGAAATATTCCCTGAATATTCCCAAAAGTAGTCTTTACTTTTGTGGTTCTGTTTAATTCATTAAAAATTTTTTTGAAAGATTTCTTTATTTACACATACAACAAGTGGGGTATAGGCCAAAGGTGTGGAGGTGGGTGAGAGGATTCACCAGAAAAAGAGTGGGGAACAGAACAGATGGATTGACTGGAATACACTGCTGAGGGGAGCAGTGGGCGAGACAGGAGAGGACTGCTGTGTCACGTGGGTCAGCTCCCTGGGCAGGGATTGAACTTGTGCTGCAGTGGCTGTGGAGTGCTTTGGAGTACTGCACTTTAACCTGCTGTGCTACCAGGGAGGCCCCTGTATAATCTATTTTATATCTCTTTTAGTCATGCATCACTGTTTATATAGTTTTGGTATTTGGATAATAATTTGAGAAATGCTATAATTCCCAAAGCAGAACCACCGAGTATATAAAAAACACTGAGAAGTCCTGAAATAAAGAAATCTATTTAGTTTTCTTTAGTTCAGGTTTTCCCCAGTTTCTTTGACCACAGATAGCCTCTTCCCTCATGTAGAGATTATTATACTAAAATACTGGTATGCAGGGGAACAATATGACATAAGTTGGTTCCTACTGTCTCTTTGAGTGATTGTTTTGTATGACCAGGGCATGAAAGAATGCCTGACACAGAAAAGTGCTTATTGTGTGTTTATTTAGTGAATGAATAAGTGAAATAAGTGATGAATAAAGAAACCAAATTGTGATATTCAGGCTCTGAGTAAACTGATGATACCACCGCATGGATTTCTGGCTCAGGATCAGCTACTTCTCCTGGCCATAGTATTGACACCAGGGGACTAAGCAATGCAAATGAGTACAGCTCCAGCCTTTGGAGGGTTTTTCAGAATAGCCAAGGAAGGAGGGGAAACATAGGAAAGCGAGAAGGGGACAGGCTGGGGAAAGTGAATGGGGAGGAGAGAGTGGTGTCCAAGAAGGGCTGCCATGCTCTACCACCTCACCTACAGGGGTGGCCATACCATTACGGCTCTCGTTGCCCTCTGATTAAGACATCAGAAAGTCAGTTCCTCTTTTTGTTATCCCATAGTACCTTTAGTTACCCTTTCCTCTTCTCTTTAATGCCAAATGCAATGTGCTTTTAAGTACTCAGAAGGGACACAAAACATTTTAAAATAGGTTTCAATGGGTAGTGATTTGAAGATGCTCACATATAGCATTACGTAAAGAGAGGAGAAAATACTAAAACTCATAAACATCATAGAAATTGTAAAATTTAAATCCTTATTTAGGCCAAGGAGTTAAGTCTCATCACTATGAAGCTATCTGCAGCCACTGCAGCACAAGTTCGAACCCAGCCAGGGAGCTGACCCACATGGCACCATAGACTTCTCCTGTCTTATCCACTTCTCCCCTTAACAGTGTATTTCAGTGGATTTGCCTTTTCTGCTCCCTGCTCTGTCTCTCATCAATACTCTCAATCCTACCCACCACCCACCCCCACCTCTGGCCTACATCCCAGCTTGTATGCATAAATAAAAATAAATTTTAAAAGAAAAGAATTTAAATACTTCATTGGCAAACATGTCAGTAGAGATCCTTAGAGTTAAGGGCCTGCCCGCAGCATTTTGATGACTGGGTCTGGAGCACAAGTGTCTGAATTTCAGCCTGCTCCTCTTTCCCTATCCTTTGTTGATGTGAATATGGTCAGAATGTTCGTTCTTTTATGATGTCCATTCAGGTCTGGGTAAGAGCTGTCAAAGCCCACAAGGAAGTAAATCCTTGCCCTGTCTCCCTTCTGTGCTGGTTTTCCTGTAAATCCACTTCTCACTGATAATCTTCTCTTCATTTACCACATCGAGAACCAGCCCACTTGGCCACTAGGGGGCCCTGTTGCACACCACATTCAGAGACTTAATGGGGTAGTGGTTCAATTTTACTGCTTCTTGTGAAGTTCTTCAAGACTTGATCCTATCCATTTGTGTATTTTTAATGAAAAGTAGCCCATAATTGTTCAAACACTGTGTTTAGAAATACGAAATCTTGGACAACAAATAGATAAGAAAGTAAAGCATGATAAAGAAATGTAAAAATAACAAGAACAGGTCACAGGTGAAGAAGAAAAGCCTGTAACTAGATGTCCTTCTTAGTTATAGGATCATATCTGTGATTTTCCTCCTGAGGCCTCCTGATCCCTTTGTACCCTCCTCCTTCTGTTGACAGTCACAAGTCAATATAGGGAGAGAGATGACAGCAATAGTTATCCAGGAGAAAGGACTCAATTTGTCCCCAGCTTACCCAGTTCACTCTTCAAAGTATGATCCTGAGGGAGAATAGAAGGTGTGTTCCGAATATTTCCTCCTCCAACAAACCAGTTTACATTGGGGTTCCAGCGGTTCACAAAGCCACAGAGATGATTTTCTTCAAAGTCACATTCTGGTAGAAGAGAAATTAAAATCCTTTATGGGGCTGCAGTCACACCTGGGACACCCACCCTTACTCCAGAATTTGCTCTTAGATATTCAGATTTGTTTCTTACTCCCTTTGCTCAGTGGAACCTTTGGATAATTCTGGTCAAGAAGAGAAACAAATACGGTAATGACTTGAGACTGCAATTCACCACTGCATCCTTGGATTATCGCCCTTCCACTTACAAGCCAGGTGGCTTGCTGCAGGACTGCCTTAACCTCCATTTCTTCATGTATGGCATGGGAACAGCATTTCTACCCCACTGAGCGACTGTCACAGCTCTGGGCACCACATCAGGCACCTGGTGAGTGCTCGGTATAACAGCCATCACTGTGTCAATGTATTATTTAGGGCTATGCTTTTAGCTCCAGAAATTTTATCCCCTACTCTTCGGGTAGCTCATCTCTCCTTCCTTGACCCTCTTAATGGCAGACAAGACACTAGAGCCAAGGGCAGTGTTTCCTAATTGGAAAAAACCCCTCTTTTCTTATAAACAAGAACCTAACCAGGACAAGCAGGGCAGGCATATTGTGGGTGCTGGGTCCTTCTTATAGTTACTAAATGTAGAAGAAAGAGAAGATAAAGAAGGTTCTCTTTCCGTTAGTGGCATGGACATTTCTGAACAGATAAATTGTTCCCAGTCAACAGATTTCTTTGGTGGGAACATGCAACTCACAAGTGAATGTCTCCATTGACATTATGCTTTTTAAAACAGGAAGTACGATTATCATGGCATCCTGATTTTTCATCCTGCTGTGTCCTCCAGGTTGACCTGTATGGACTGTATCAAAGTATCAAAGGGTTCCTCTGCCTTCTGGCTCCCTGTTGAATTCAGCCAATGGAAGGTAGGAGAAGAATGGGTCTGGATTGGGGGGCTTATAATTCCAGATCCCCTAATGCCAGCTGCTGTGGTTTGGGGGTGTCCCTCTATTGAGGCACATCTCCTATCAAGTAGTTCTAATGAGTCAGCCATTGTCTCCTAGTTCTGGCCACTTCTTCTCCCTTGCCCATTCATACCTACAGATGGCCATCACCATTACTAGTCCTGGATTACCTCACCGTTCCTTCTTGCACACTTTTGTATTCCTTCTAATGAAATTTCCTCAGATTAATGAGGTACTTGTACCCTTTTCTTCCCTTTTCCTGAGTGATATAGTTTTAATGTATTTCTATATAATTAGAGTAGATATCTTTAGGGACTTTTATTTTCAACTTTTCCATTACAGCATCTGCTAACCCAGTGCCCCAGCATCTGCTAATCCAATGACCAACAATAAGGGCCAAAGGCTAACATGGAGCAAAATATAAAGCAAAATATTCTTTTATGTACCAGACACTATTCTAAACACTTTAGATAAATTAACCTAATACTAAAAACAAGAGGTAGGTTATATTATTAACCTCATTTTACAGATGAGAAACTAAGGGAAGCAAAGAGAATGCATGTAAAGAAAGAACAGTGAGAATATGAGCACAAAGTTTAACAAGATAAAATTATCGGCACTCCTTTTGCTTTTAAACAGAACCAAAGCCATCAAGTGAAAGGTAATTAACAATTCTTGAATGCGCAACACTGTGCCAATCACCGTAATATCCATGATCTCATTTTTCCCCACAATAATTCTAAGCGGGAAGTACTTTGCCCCCATTTTACAGGAGATGAAACTGAGGCTGCCTGGCTCAAGGAGCAGACTGAGCCAGCAGGTGGCATTCCACCAGGTATGTCTAACTAGTCTATGGCTTGTCCAAGATTCTTGGAGCTGTGGGGTGGGCTCAAGGAAGGGAGCTTGGATCTAAAAGTCTTCAGAAAATGCTCATCTTCCCAGTCTATTTTCTTCTACTTACATTAACGACTTCATCAGAAGGTGAAAGGACAGAAGTACGACTCATGAAATTAGTAGAGATGCTTTTTTTGTTGTTTAGAATCAACTTTGACTTCCTCTTCACTTCCTCTCCATGGTCACTCAGCCTCCAAGAACTGCCAGTTTTAAAAACTCTAAAATCTACTGCCCCTTTCCTAGTCTACTGCCAGCCCCAATTTGGGACTCTTATGTCCATTCTTAAGGTGACAATCACTTCCTGGGCCTTTCTCCGCCTCTTACACATTTCTTTGTGTCCAACTGCCTTGTTTCCATGAGGCAGGCACATGCTCGTGCAACTGACCGTCTGCACCACGTCATTCAAATCCGAGCTCCACAACCTGGATCCAGATTCTTCTCTAGGAAACTCTTAGCAGTCCTGATTCTCACTTCAAACACTCCATTAATCAAAGGCAGTCAACTTTGTCTGAACATGTTCTTCAGTTTCTCTAGGTCTGTCCCTAGAGCATTCCTTCCTCACCTTTGCTCAACTAAATCCCATTCCTTCTTGAAACTCTAGCTCAGATGCTTCTCCCATAATCAGTTGCATCTGATTGCTCCTTCTCCCTGCACCTCCAAAGCAGGTGTCGTCCTTCTCTGGCAGGGCATACATAGAAATTATTTTAATGTGGACAAGTAGAAGGCAAGTGAACTATTTTCTCTTTAGACCTTTACAGAAACTGGCACATAAGAGGCATTCAGTGAATGCTGCTCAGATAGAATCTAAGCAATAACTGTTTATAAAAAGGGGCAAATGGCAGGCAAGAGAGAAAAGGAACAGGAGGTAACAAAATGCCTGATATTCCAGCAAATTCTACACAAAGCTGAGTTCACAGCAAACTGGGAATTGTTTTCATAAGAATATGTCGAGGTTAAGGTGGCAACTCAGGTTGCATTTGCTGCCTCTGCTTTTCTTTCATTAATCCATCCAGGCAAACTTGAATGAGCTTCCCTATGCTAGGAAGGAGGCTAGAAACAGCATATATACAGCATTCAAGTGAATCCAGCAAACAATTTAAACTCCTACACATTACGCAATGTACTTTACAAATTACTTTGCTTTTAGTATTGATTTAGTTCTCCCTGGTAGCAGCTGATTTTAGAAAAACATTCACAGTCTGATGGAATGAAAATGAAACTTACCAATACAGTAGCCAGTTGTCATCATGATTTCAAGGAGTGCAATGCTGGCTGTGTTTCCCTGTCCTAGCACACCTTCTATTAAAATCTGCACAACACATGGGAAAAATGGAGTTAGACTTCAAAGTACGTGTTTCCTTGGCTCAGAATTTCAGCTTCCAGTCAAGAGTTTCTCAGAAATTCAAGATAAAACAACTTGGCTTGTCTTAGGTAACTGCCAATGGATACTAAATCCATGGTGGACTCCATTGTGTGTGTGTATACATGCATGCATGTGTGTCTACACAAACACGTTAGGTATATACTCAGTGTAGCTTGGAGGTGAACAAGTTGTCTGATAGCAGCTCTGTCAGCTGTGTCAAATTGTTACCCCAGTCACCTCTCTTCAGAGAGCTATGGTGGCACCAACTGACTACAAGGGGAGAGGAGAGCTTGTGTCTCTGGGGAAATCTCTCCTCATATTGGTCAGGAGCTGTGGACAGAAGCTCCAAGGAGGAAATCAAAACCTTGTAAGAGGAGATGGGGGTCACATTCTGATTAGTAGTGGGAGAACTCTGCAGGAGATGGAAAAGGCTCATAAAGCAACAGGTAGTTTCTATCTTGGTGCAAAAACTTGAAAATTTTAGACAAAGAACAGACAAATGTATGACAATGATGTGGCTCATTTAAGTACTGCTCACATTTGGTATTGTTTCTGCAGGAAATTGCTTTTTCTTATGTGAATTTTAACCAATATTTTAAAACTATGCTGGATGATTTAGGGGCTGGAATGTTATTGGGAGGATAGTGTGAAACTGGGAACCTAGGCCCTGAGTGCGCCTTCCCTCAATCCACCATACCGCCTGATGCAGAGAGACTAGTAGCAGGTAGCAGGGCTAGAAGAGCACAATATTTCAGCATGTTTTGGAGAAAAGGCATAAGATAAGGATTTGTAAAAGGGGATTAGGGGTGGAGAAAGTTTTGGTGAAGGTTTCATTGTGTTCTCCATGACATATTCTTACTAAATGTCACACTTCATGTTCACATGAGTGCAGCTCCCATCTTCCTTCCTTACCCTAATCCACACTCAACATTATCTTCCATTCTCTACTTTCCTCTTCCAAAAATTCTGAGATAACCATTCTCAACTCTGAAAAGGAATCAGGATAAGCCCTTTAACTAACTTTCTTCTTTGGAAATATTTTAATTTCTTTTTCTATTACAGTTAATATCTTGTTCAAAAATTGTAGCAAACAATTAGGAAAGTACTATAAACACATACAGCAAACCTCTTAGAAGTATGAAAAAAACTGACAAGAAATGAGAATGCTCCCTAAAGTTCACTAGAAAATCAGTTTCCATTGAAGAGGTTGGGTTATGTTCATATAAATTCTGAAGGAAGTCTTACTTAAATAGATAAGAAAGAAATCTGGGGAGAAACTCTTTTAACAAATAAACAATAAATTGTATTACTAATAATTTCCTATGATACCTCACCTATAAAACATCACATCCTAACATATAATATAACAAACTTACATAGCATAAAATGTAAAAAAATCTTAGATTATCCTAAAGCTACACAATAATCTCTGCTGCCCCACCTTCTTGAATCCCACCTACCTGGAATTTCTTGGAATTGTTTGGCAAATCTAGGCTGGCTATGAGCCAGCTTTCTGAAGTTTCCTTAGTTGACCAAAGCAAGTGATCAAAGCTTTCATCTTCAAACCTCATATAGAGGTTCAGCTGACTGGGATCTGAGGGAGACCCTGAAGGTACAGCTATCTGGTAGACCAATCGAAGGCAGCTCCACTCCTCAGCCTGTAAGTCAGAACTTGCTAGCACAGCTTTTTCCCCCTGCTTGGCAAAGGAGGTGTCCATATAAATGTAATGACCTGAAAAGAGAAATGAAATAGGAAAAGGGTCACCAGAAGTTTGTAATTCTGTTTGCAAATTGTGGGGTCTAGTAACTCTGAAGATACAGCATTTTGTTAGCATTTTATTAGCCCACTAAATATTGCTGGAACACTGGATTTTTGCCTTTTTGTGGAAAATGAGATGATTCAACAACACAAAAAACAGTTTCACATGCTTTGACAACAGCTGACAGAAGATGACATGTGAGCTCCACTTTGCCATATTATCCCCCAATATTCTCTATTACCTCCTGACACTGAAGTCAAGTATTCATTGTTTGTTATTATATTAGATACATTTAGCATGTTGCATTAATTTTCCTGGTTCTCATGCATCTGTTTGAGAATCAAGGTTAAGGGGCTTCAGAAATCTGAAGGAGCAGCACAAGCAGTTGAAACACCCAAGACCAGAGTCAGAATACCTTGGTAGATTCAACCTTCTCCTTTCAAAGCTCACATTTTACCTAATGGCTCAATTTGCATTCAGTTTGCATCATTGTAGTAGATTGAGCTGCTTTATTTACCTCAGATGTTGGAACCTAGGCAGAAACAAGGCATTGAAATCTAATTTTTTTTAAAGATTTATTTATTTGTACATACAGAACTGGGGTACAGGCCAGAGGCTCAGGGGTGGCGAGAGGCTTCACCAGAGACAGAGTGGGGAGCAGAACAGGCAGAACGATGAAGCACACTGCTGAGGGGAGCAGCAGGCGGGTAAGGAGAGGTCTGCCCCGGCAGGCGGGAATCAAACTCATGTAGTAGTGGTTTTAGCTTCTCAGTGCTGTGCTTTAACCTGCTGAGCCACCAGGGAGGGCCGAAATCTAATTTTTAATTAGTAATAAGATCCTACTTCTCTAACTCTTCCACTACTAAATCTCATAGCTCTAGTAATCGAGAAAGCATATAAAACATGTAGGAGGGAACTTGGAAATCAGTAGACACTAGAGATCATCATATTCTCTGTCCCTTCCCTTTCTAAATACCTCTTTCCTTCCTTGTCTATCCTCTCTTTCTCTTTCCTTTCGCCCATTCTCCTTTATATTACCTCCTTTTCTTCTTCTCCTTCCTCTTCTCCTTATCCTACTAAATGGACAAGTGATGCTCTTCTGGACACAGTAGTATGGAACAACATCTCTATTGAAATAAAAATTGGAACGAAAACCCTAATTTAAACCATCAAAATCTGAGTCTGGTCACTGGGTCCTTATAGATGACATGATCTGCCTATGGGTCTTAGACACCCACTTCTTTTCTGGTCTGAAGACTGTCACACTACTCAGCGGTTCCAACATTCATGCTCGGCATCTAACCTACAGTCTTCCTCCCATCATGTGACTGCCTGCCCCCACTTTGCATTTGGAGTTCCCTAACACTGAATTCTCACTGAAAGATCTTGAAAATCTTTGCTTTGCTGATTCTTCAGTCCTCCTTCCACACTTGTTGCTCTATTTGCAGATCCCAGCCAGAAGCCCGTCTGTGGCAAGTACTAACAGGCCATCAGCAGTGCAGCCTCTGATTGTCCCCACAGGTAGCACTAAGTTGGGGCATTGTGTTCAGGGAGCCTCACTGGTCTGCAAAGGTTTTCAACATCAGATCTAGTTCCAGCTGGCAGTCTTTTAACATAGCAACTGCCCAGTGGGTTCCAGTGGGTACAAATAGCAACTGCTTTTGGATGTGGATGTTAACTTTGGAGAAATTTGTCCCTTGCAGTAACTACTACCAACTCCATTATCTCCTATGCCCTATCAACACTCTACGAATTAGGAGTTGTTCAAATGCTTACATGCATTTCTTAGCTGTGGGGCCTATTGACTTTTGAAGCTAGGGCTCTTGGTGCCAAATCTTTTATGAATAAAAATACCACTTCATTGCAACACAAGGGCATATATAATCACATTCTCTCCCCACTCTCTGCTACTGCCCCAAAAGGAAGGGAACTTTAAGCAGGCTGGGGAAGATAACAAGAGTACTGAAACCTTTTCTCAGAGTTGATACATGTTATAAAGGAGACAAGAAACAAAGGAATTCCCCACTGTATGCTACAGAGTTTTCATATCAAAAGTCAACTTTGGAGCCAATCAAAATCCGGTTCTGTTTGGAGAACTTCAGCAATTTTTCCTTTTTCTCCCACCTTCTTTTTTTCTCTACTCTAGAAGGGGACAATTCATGGCAGTGGCTCTCAAACTTGAGGCCAGAGTCACCTGGAGGGATTGTTCAAACTCAGTTTGCTGGGTTATTTTTAAAGAGTTTTTCATATCATAGGTCTAAATATCTGAAAGGTTGCATTTCTGAGAAATTCTAGGCAATGCTGAATGCTGCCAATCTGGTGCCACAGGTGAGAATTGCTCATTTACAATATCTGATGGAGAAGTGGAACTCTCTAGGTGCCTTTCATCTATTAAATAAAAAGCAGGTCCCTATTGCATGTAAAGGAGGGAGAAGGCCATTCTATTTGGATATAAAACTCAAATTTAACACGTGTTCCAGCAGAACCATAGAGTCTATCTACTGGTAATTATCTTGATTTTTCAGTGAATGCCATAAGAATATTTCCCTTTACATAATCTCTTACTATATTAGACATTATTATAAGCATATGTTAATACTCTTATTAAGAACCACTGAGAACACACACAATATGACATATCTTATTTAACTATTTTGATAGTGTGCAATATGAATATTGGTGGTATTTATTGAGAGATTTTGACATCTCAACCATAAATGTTGGCTACTTCAAAATATCAGGATTTTGCATGTCAAATTCATTTTTATGTCATAATGTGTGAATGTGTCAATTAGTTGCACTGTACAATCTTTCTAAAGATTGACCTATGCAACTAATTTTGCAGCCACTCAGCAGAATAATGCATTTTCCTAGGTAAATAAGTTATTTCCTAGATCAAATAAGTAACCCAAATTCTACCCACTTCTGCTATTATTGCCAAGTTCAAGACAAAATTTCTTAATCTAGATCTAGTTAAATTTTGCCCAGTAAGTTGTCATGACATCCTTTTTGAAAATCAATTAAGCATAGTTAGAAGGGCTTAGAAATAACCCCTCCATTGCACTCCATTAATCTGTTTATCCATAATGCCTGTTCCACATGGTCTTGCTTTGTAGTAAATTTTGAAATTGGAAAGAGTGAACTCTTGAGCCTCAGTCTTCTCTTTCAAGATTGTTTGACTATTCTGGGTCTCTTGCATTTCCATATGAATTCAAAGATCAGGATAGGAATAGGATAAATTCAAATGCCACAATTTCACTATTCTTACTTAATAGTCATTTTTCTTGAATAAATTCTTTCAGTTGTAAGTCTAGGTTAATTTCAAGTTTAAAAAGTTACTTTCGATGATTGTTTCCAGTGTATTCCTTGCCCCTTTAAAGGATATTTTCTGGGACAAAGAGTTCCTGAAGTCCCAGCTCCACCATTCCTGCTATCATCACCCCTTTTCCCCATCTTTTTAACCCAATAAGAGTAGAAAACAATACTTTAGTGATGTTGAGACAAATACAAGCAAATACAACAAAATGGGTTATTGCCTATGATGCCTTTGCCAAGGGTCTGGGAGTGATTTACTAGCCACGGTATTGGAGCCAGGAGTGGAGGAAAGGATCCTTCTTCAAATGCTGTTGATTAGGCAATTGGAATTGATTTACAAGACATTTATTAGAAATAATAAAATCTTTATAAAGGGTTAGAATGGGTCATAAACTTCCAAATGGATTTTTTTAAAGTCAGCCATCAAAAGCAAGAATTAATCCACCCTGCCCAAAAGGTAAGGTTCCACAGGCCTCGGGGCCTGAGGACATTTTCTCATCACATACAGGCATCAGGAAACATCAGAAAAAGTTTTTCTGTTTTAGCAACTCCTGGGTATGACCCACTTGCCTCCACAGTCACCCTAGCAAAATCACCACACATGAAGGGCAGTGAGTGAAAGACCAAACTGATGCTATGCTAGGCTTCAGAATGCTTCTGAACCAGCCAGGTCTAAGTTGCGGTTATCAACAAGGCGCCAAGGCCGACTTTAACTGTAAATGTCCTAATCTTGCTCATCCCATAGCTAAAGCCAATTAGAAAGTAGGCAAGTAACCATTGCATATCTGGAAAGTACCAGATGTCCTAAGGTATGCGGGCCGAGTAGTGAAGGTTGCATCTTACATGCATAGATCAACCGGGTTAAGACAATATAACTTTGTTCAATGTCCACCAATCGATGTACTGCTGAGCATAAACTCCTCTCTGCTGGGCAAAAACTCCCCTCTTCTGTAATAAAAACCCTGCCTTCCCTGAGCTCAAGGCTCTCAACTTTGGCTGCTAGTCGCTGCATGTTGGGAGCCTAGGCTCGAGCTTGCAATAAAGACCCTCATGTGCTTTGCACCAGAATCGGCTCCTTGGTGGTCTTTGGGAAACTGGAAACCTGGCACAACAGTGAGTCCATGAGCTAACAGCATTTCAGGAAAGCAAGTCCCTGACATTCATATTCATGCTCTGGCCATTCTGCCACAGCAGTGGCCTGGGACTGAGATTCCCATGCAGTGCTTTGGCTATTAGAAGTAGTGGAAACTCTAGCTGTATAGATGTGTCCAGTAATTGAGCAGGATCTCAAAACTCAATTTTTTCTGTACTGCCTTCCTTTTGGCAGTTTCCTTCCCAAGGTTAATATCCATTCCCTGAACTGGGTGGAGGATTCTTTCACCAAATTATCTGAAATGTGTACTGCTTCCTCCATGAATTGAGTACTGCTAATTAATAAGGTTGTCGAATGTTGGTTCAAATCACACCACTTAAAAGTCATGTATGTCACTGTGGGCTTCCCTGGTGGCACAATGGGTCAAAGTGCAGCACTATGAAGCTCTCCACAGCCACCACAGCATGAGTTTGATCCCTGGTCCAGGAGGTGACCCATAGGGCACAGCAGACCTCTCTTGACTGCCTACTGCTCCCCTTAGTTGTGTGTTTCAGTACAACTGCT